CCTGGCAATAGCTGTTTTATTGTTTCATTGAAGCTACTGTTAAAAGATCTTGCAATAGGTATCTGTATCATTCAGATCATTTTGCTTAGTAATCACTTTTATTCATAATTACTGCATTTCATTTCTGTTGTAATGTGTAAATTGTCATTATTTCTAAAATTTTCATACGACTTAAAAATAACTGAAGTTCACTGGAAAAATCTTTGTACTGTAGTAGGACTACTGGTCCACACTCCCTGAGGCAGCAACAACCAACCCGCTGAATATACGGAGAGGTGACATCTCTGCTATATATGACCCATGTTGCTTTATTGCTTTTACTACAGTGCCATTACCGAATGAGACTCTCCCCCCTCTCCGGTACCAAAACCAAGTGCAGCACTTGCCTACAAATAGTCGAATTGGGATGGCCCCATCACTGAAAAGGTGCATGCCAACATGCTCAAGGCTGCAACATCCAACATGGAGACTGCCTGCCTCCAAACTGTGAGCGCACCACACTCTGGAGACTTCCTCTAAACAGTTCCCATTTCAGCAATGGGAACATGCCTTAACTCTCAGACCCTGTGTATTGCAGTGGCTTTCAGCCTTGCTGCCCCAATTCACACGGAATATACATGCATTTGCGGTGATGCGCTAGCTGACCACTGTGGTCTACACGGTATTAACTGCTCCAAAACCAAGGGTTGGCACACAGGACACAGTGAAGTCGGTGACAAAGAGGAGCCATGCTACAGCTGGGTGCCCATCCGAGAGAGAGCCCTGATCCCTAGCCGCCAACAACACTCACAATCCCACAAACTGCCCGGATGAGAATCGCCATCTGTCCTTGGAAGAATGGCAGGCTTTTAGCATGGGACTATACCTGCATGTCGATGCTGGCTGACAAATTCATCAGTGTTGGGAAACAGGGAGGTGCTGCAGATCACAGAGAGGAGTACAAGGTCAGCAAGTACAGAGACGTAAGCCATCGGTATCAATTTGTCCCAGTGTGATCAGAGACCTTGGGATCATGGGGAAAGAACGCCAAGTTTCCTGAAAGAACTAGGTTCCAGACTCAATGACATCACAAGGGACCCCAGGACGGCCATCTTCATATTCTAGCGCCTCAGCGTGACCATCCAGAGGAGAAATGCTTGCTGCATAATTGGCTTACGTCCAGCTTCAGAGGAGTTGGAGAGGATTCATAATCTTTTGATATAGTTTATCAATATATTCATGTTTGTGCTTCTTAAATAAATGATCACTGACCTTAAACATTATATATATATATATATATATATATTTTATATATATATATATATTATATATATATATATATATATATTATATATAATATATATATATTTATTATATATATATATATATATAATATATATATATATATATTTTTAATAATATATATATATATATATATATTATATATATATATAAAAGATCCACCTCTAGTGCAATATATGGGGGTCCCTTAGCCTCGGAAAAGAAGTGAAATGTCTTGTAGGAAGTCTAGAGACCCTCCCTAGAAATCCATGTGAGCACTTGTCTTCTCCTACCACCCCATAATATATAATATATATAAAATATATATGTGTGTTTTATATATATATATATATTATTATATAATATATTTATATATATATATATAATATATGTGCCGAATAGACAGAACTTGCCATCTTGGCTTAAATAGCAATGCTCATTTTGCCATATAGGACAAGCGAAAATTTGTGTATGCAATAATTTCGCCAAAATCATTCTGAACCTAACGAAAAACATATATTTGATTGTGTTTTAGTACTAAATTATTGTAAACGTATTTAAAATATATTTAGTTGGGTTAGGCTAAAATAAATTGCTCTTGTTGTAATAAGGTTAGGTAAGTTTTCTAAGATTCCTTTGGTTCAAAATTAAATTTTTTTACATTAACATTAATGAAAAAATATATCTTTAAACATATAAGAAAAAATTTCAGAAAGGACTTAATTTTAAATGAGTTCATGCTAATTGACCAGTTTTACATATTCGGCACGACATATATGTATATATATATATATATATATATATATATAATATATAAACATGATCTCTGGCCGAAGGAGACTCGAACCTATGAACCTTGGAACAAGGTATGCAGTGCTTTACCATTCTCACCACACTGGACAATACCTTGGCGCCCAGCTCGCGCTAGACGTTGATCCGAGGCAGCCAGTCACTTGTCTTCTCCTACCACCCAAATGCTTACAGCTTTTCATCTCATCCCTTGCATACATCGATATATATATATATATATTATATATATATATATATATATATATATATATGTATATATTATATATATATATATATATATATATATATATGTATATATATATATATTATATATATATATTATATATATATATATTATATATTATATATATATAATAATCAAACTACTCTTTCGGCGGGAATCCTATACTTTGATATTATAAAATTATTTTTTTCTTTAAAAAAGGGTTGATTTAAAAAGACATTTGCATTTAACTTCTTTATTTATAAAACTCTCGAATAGTCCTATACAAACTGACTAAAAATACCTTTGTACACACGACTCGTCCTGCCCAGCTGACCCACCAAGGCGCCCTCTCGCTAACTCCTACACCATATGACAATAAATTTGCTCTAAACTTTAGTGTTGGAGGATCACTGGACCTGAAAAAATAGGGTTTCCTAAAGCATTGTATGCATTATGCTCTCCGTACCATCCACAGTGCAAACAAATTTACACATTAATCCAAAAGTCATACAATAATAAATATATATGTAAACGATTAAAAAACAGCAATTGACATTTAAATACATTAATAAAGCAGACACAATTTTGAGGCAACAGCGGCAGTAAGGGCAGGTATAAGCAGCACCGAGCAGGTAAACTTGGTGACTGGGTCCAGCCTCCTGCTAGACAAGGCAGCCGGGGACAGCGGCCTACTGCGATCTCTGGCGGAGTGTGCATGCCCGCGCTCCGTAGTCTTGGACCAGTGCACGATGATGCGCCTCCAGTGTTCACAGAGGCGGAAGTTATTGTAAATGTGCGATTGAACAAACTATGACACAAGCGAGTATTTTCAAGTTAGTGTGCGGATGAACCGTAGATATGTACTTGTGACCACCAGTCCGCGAGCACCGCCTCCCGCCAGGATGTCCGCAAGTTGAGCCACAGTTGCGCCAAAACGAGTACCATTGACTGAGTTTCAGTCAGTCCAGATGTATTGGCCGCTTCTGCTGGGAGGCAGACTTAACGCCTACGTTAAGACAACAGACTGACTAATCCTGTATCACAGCTGAAGGGGTCTGAATATCAGATGATAAATGTAAATGTGACGACCATCACGGAGGTTGGAACATGCCAGTGTCTTCACCTAGAGTAACATGGAACAACTGTAATTAAATCTTGAATATAAATATCTAATTCTGTTATAGTAATTTTTAAAAACTAGTTGAACAAAGTCACTTTTATTATATGCTTCGGTGTTAGTCTGAGCATGTCCCTGCTCAGTCTGTCAGGAGAAGTGGGCGTCACACTTGTTCAATGAGCGTAAGACGCAGGAGTGAGCCGTGATATAGCACCCACAAGTATGTACCAACAGCTTGTGTTGAGGTCACGGAGAAGACCAGGGCGAATGACTCACTGACGCCCTTTGGTCACGAACATGAAACTTGGGAGTGCAGTCAAACACTACGCTTCCCCAACCTGCTGTGGGCGGCTCAACAGGAGGCACAGAGGGGAAGAAGTTCCAAATGTGCAAATGACGTCTGTGTCAGTTATGACTGGAGGTGTTTGGGAAGATCCCTCGTAGAGTTGCTCTGCATTTCTTTTGTTAAATTTCTCAGAAATGTCAGTGATATCTTGCGTAATTTGGCTTATACTTAACATGAGAACAATTTACCAAGATGCCTGACTGACGCGTTAAAATGAATCTACAATGGTTACGAAAGAACTCATTATTAACTTATTCGACTAGTAAGTGGAGGTAGGTACTCGGATTTTCAACATTAAAGACATCACTCAGTAAATGATCCGATCACAGCAGAGGGTGACTCTTCCTCACCAATTCCATTTTTACCCCCGACACTTGACCTCTGGAACGGTTTTTTTTTTTCAGAGATATTTGGAACTTCTCCCCACCACGTCTCTTCAGAACATACTAGGATACAAAACATCGAGAGCACATTTTTACCACCGTGGTGATGAATAAAACACTGGGAGGGGGTAAGCTTAGGGAACAACGAGCAGTGTGTAGCCTCATCTAGGAGACAACAAGATCCTAGCCTCCCCCTCCCGACATGCTCTCTCACGGACAAATAACACTGACGGCCTCACCAAAGACAAGCGACATGAGCACCTGAAAACTGAAGTGGAAGTGGACTAACTGTACAGCCACTGACTACACACTGTAACTGCTTCCACTTCAAGGTAAAAATTTCCCAGAACGCTTGGAAATCAGGATGAAAGGCTAGGGGCATATGGATATTTTTCAAAACCAAAAAACTTATATTTTCAAACATGAACACAGTAATGATGGCCGCGCAGCCGTCCTCTGGTCTAGCACTTCAGAAGCAGTCTCGGTTTACTACTGTTTATACACGTATTTATCCACATTGTTTTACATATACAGCATCAGTTTTTAATGTACACACAATGTCTGTTTGTATTTTTGGGAGGTATAACTGAGTACAAGACCTCTGGGGCTGCGCTGACAGTCTTTCCCACTTTAAGATTCGTCACAAAGAAACGTCCATTTGTGAAAGGACGAGCACGAGAACAGAAGGCCACTAAGTTATGTGTGTGTGTTGCCGCATTGACAACATAATTTCGTATTTCAAGCACAAAGCACGGCGATGTATTTTGGACTAGCGTTCACTGTAATAAAATACATCTTATTTACAGGTCATGTGTCTTCATCTTTCGTCAACAACTATTCACAACTCGGTCCCCTCGCCGTTTGCGACCCTTGTAGCCTACACGAGGGGAGAGGTCACTGAGGTTTGGGGGTCAGGTTGGCGTGGTGATTGTACTGTAGGCGTGGTTTGTGCTTCTTAGGGCATGGTGGCCTGGGAGGGCGTGTGTGAAGGGACTGAGCAGGAGCATACGTGCTGTCGTCAGTACTACAGAAGGACCCCCCGCGCCCCCATCTGGCTTCTCCTGCTGCCCTCAGAGCCTCTGCCCAGTTGAGATCCTGAGCGTGGGAGAGAGGGTGATCAGCAGAGCAACAAGACCCACCCGAGGAACAGCGTGATTCGTCCTCAGACTCTGCGTCACCTAACGTGGAGGACTCTGGCGAGGTGCGGCCGTTGAGAAGTGGCTGAGAGTACCACTCGACGTCACTGGCCTCTTCGGGAATATTGAGGCCCATGGGGCCATCTTCCATACCCATTTCGGTTCTGTAGCACTGTTCATCGCCTTCCACCCTTGGATGCGTCCCACGCAAGTTCATCATTCGCACCTCGTAGTCACCGGAGCCTTGTACAGTGTGGCCAGCCAGGGGAGACGGTGGGGCACGCATGTTAGCGCGTGGGGGGCGCGGACCCAATAATGGGCTCCCATGTGACCTGTGGGAACCCCCAGATGATGATCCGCCATACGGAAGCTGCTGGAGCAGAAGCCTAGCGGAGGGCGACTGGCCACGGCTGCCGGTGGAGGCTAGGGTGTTGTCACTGGACTGGTCCCCACCAATAAGTGGTGGAGGAGGGGGAGGGGGAAACTGCAGCACCGGTCCAGAGAGAGAACCTGCCGATAAAATGACACACATCAATATTTATTACCCTAATTAAAATCATTATAAATATTTGTATTAGAATTACTGGTGCTCAACTTGTACTATCTACCTATATGTTTCTACCCAAAGGTGGATAAAACGCAGAAATTCAAAACCTGCTTTCAGGGAATTTATCTTCATATCCGCAGAAGTTAAAATTTCAAAGTTGACAATTTTAAACATTGTGGAAAAAGTGAAAAACTCAAAATGGGTACACGACACAGGATATATATTTTCACAGGAAAGAAATGGTAAAAGATGTAGAAATAACAATGTCAGATGATAGTGGTAAAAAGAGACGTACAGCAAGAGACCTTTATTAGTACGACTTCAAGCGGATACTCGATAAAGCCTCGTGTAGGGAAAACAGCGTAAAAATAGCCCTCCATTTGCTTTTTTTTTTTTTTTTTTTTTTTAGCACTTGTTCGCTACGCCATACTTCAACTGTCATAACACGTTGAGCTTGGAAGAAAAAATAAAGCGAACCTAGCCCAGTGTATGCAAATATCTGAATGGATTATGAGAACCAATGGAACTTTTCATGCACTTTTTATTCTCTCATCTAGGATACTATTTAGAGCTAATAACTCCTTCCAGAACACTGTACATCTCTGTGTATATACAATGAGAGTTCGCTTCAGTCTCTATTATAGGAATTATTCTTGACTTGCAGGGAAAAAGCTTTTAGCCTAACAAACTAATCATAACATCTTTTAAGAAAAGTGAGAAATTCAAGCTATAACATAGTCTTTTTTTTTTTTTTTTTTTTTTTTTTTTTTTTTTTGTGTGTGTGTGTTTTTTTTTTTTTGTTTCCACAGAAGCCTTAAATCTAGTAGATTGTGCTCTGACATGGAGACGTGAAAGAGGTTTCATAATCCACACATATGGAAGTAACTCGAAGATCATATTCTGTTATCGCACTACAATACTTTACTGGAGTAATAAATATGAGTGGTGTAGAATATACACAATATGTCCACGACTCGCCGACTATCGCCTAGCAATTTTAAGAAACGGTTTCAAAATGGAGCCGAGAGAGGATAAAAAAAATCCTAAATCGATTACAGGAATATTGAGTAGGGTGTGTTGTTGAGAGCAGAGTGATGAGAGAAGAGGAAATCAAATAGTGACCTTGATTTGAGCACAAAAAAAGATGATGCATGGGAAAGATAAGAATGATACAAGGGAAAGACGAGAAAGATGGTACAAGAGAAAGACAAAGAACGCTGGAGAAGGATGAAGTTGGTTTAGAAAGACACGTAAGCAAACACTATAACATATTTATTAGAAAACGTTTCGGTCCTGGGACCTTGATTACTTCTAACATAACAGAGGAACGAACGAACGAAAGTTCAGGTAAGATCCCAAATGGGATGAGCGGGGAAGACGGGACAGACGAAGAATAGTGCTGGAGAGGAGTGTTCTTAGTCGTAGAAATAGAGCCAGGGCTTAACCCAGCAGCGAAGGCGATCGTGGGACAGATATTGAGAAGAGAAATTCAGGCTCTTCTGTTAGGACTCCAGTGGGGTGAGCGAGGAGGAAGGGACATGCGACATTTAGGGCTAGAGAGGAGTGTAGAACTGGGCCATGTCTTAACCCAAAAGCTAAGGCGAACGTGGGTCAGAGAATGGTACCTGTCATAGAAGGTACCTGTCAGTGAATCCACGGTTATTTGTAAATAGGGTTTGGAGCAGGATCATGCAAGTAGAAAAGGTTGTGTTGGTTTGTGGGTCTGCGAATGTCTTCATCAAGGAGAGTGGTCCAGTAGTCATGTCGTGTCTCAAGTTTGTCTATCTGTCTGTCACTGAGCGTCTTCCAGTACAGATTCAGCACAGGGATGTCTAATTGCGCATGGAGAGACTCGCTTGTGGCGAAGTCTTCCCACCTGATATCAAGCACCCAGCGCAGCGCCTTGTTCTGGACACGCTGCAGTTTAAGTAAGTTTGTTTTTGCTGCAAGAGAAAGGGCTAGAGGAGAGTAAGTTATTAGAGGACGTATTAGGGATTTGCAGAGGTGTAGTTTGGTGCGTTGAGAGGCATGTTTCAGCTTGTAGAGGCCCGCAAGGGCCTTAGTAGCTATTGCATGCCTTGAGTGAATGTGTCCGTGTAAACGAAGAAGGTAGTCAAGATTAACGCCAAGGACAGTGACAGATTGTGTGATGGGGATGTAAGTGCGGGTGTCAGCTGTTCTGAGCTCGACAGGTAATGGAGGATCACGTTTCCTGTAGTTAAAATATGTAATGCTGGATTTAGCTGCATTGGTTTTGATCCTCCATTTTTGTTCCCAGATGGCTATCCTGTCGACCTCATTTCGTGTTTTGTGTGTGAGTGTATCTATATTGGCATGAGTGATAAGTTGTGTAATGTCGTCTGCATAGGCTAGTGTGATGGAGTTGTGGTATACAGGTGTTGGAATGTCATTAGTGTATTAAATGTAGAGGGTAGGGGAGAGGACAGATCCCTGGGGTACTCCGGCTTTTTAGTGTGAAGTAGTCAGAGTAACAGCCTTGGAATTTGATTCTCATGGTACGGCCGTCTAGGAAGTTGCAGAGGAGTTTACGAGTAATGAGAGGCAGGTTGAAGTTAGTGCAGAGTTTGTACCTGAGCCCTTCGTGCCAGACAGTGTCAAAGGCTTTTTCAACGTCTTTTGCAACCAGGGCTGTCCTGTTTCTTTGTTTTGTGTTGATGTGGATGTACTTGAGAATGATGTTAATGGCATCCTGTGTGGATCTGTGTGTTCTGAAGCCAAACTGGCCATCAGAAAGTAGAGAATTGTGTTCCAGGTATCTGCGAAGGCGATGATTGATGAGTTTTTCAAAGAGTTTTCCTAAAGTTTCGAGGAGGCTGATAGGGCGATAGTTTCTAGGGTCAGAGTGGTCTTTATTGGGTTTAGGAAGGAGGATAGCAGTAGCAGCTTTGAAGAGGGAAGGGAAGTATCCAGAGGCAAGGGAGGCATTGAGGAGGTTTGTGTAGGCAGTAATGATAGAGTCAGGAAGGTGTTTCAGGATAATATGGTTTAGGCCAGAAGCACCAGGAGCCTTGGGAGGAAGGTGTCTGAGGAGAGTTTTAATGTCTGTGTTGGTGAAAGGAGTGTCGAGTCCTTGGGAGGAGGTAAGAGAGTCTAGATGTATGTGGCTGTCTGGTGTTGTTTCTTGTGTGTGTGTGTGTGTGTGTGTGTGTGTGTGTGTGCAGTGTTCCAGTGTTCTATGTTCTGAATGTGTTGAATAACGTTAGGGTGAGGTGGGTGAGCGTGGAAGATGTTCTCCCAGATGTGTTTGAAGATACTGGTAGCAGCCTGCGGGTCTGAGATGTGTGTGTTGTTGTGGGTGATGTTTGAATTTGTTGGTGGGAGTTGTGCCTCTGATTTTTTTGATAAAGTTCCAGAAGGCTTTAGTGTTTTTAATACGCTGCTTGTCTGCTTGTTGTATGAGTTGTGACCAGTGATTGTTGTGGTCTTGGTCTAGGCTGTGTAAAATATCGTTTCTAAGGTAAGTGAGATCTAATCGGACTTGATTAAATCTGTGTGTGTTGTAGAGGAAGCGGTTGTGGTAGCAGATAATTAGTCTTCTTGTTCTGAGTGACGGTTTGAAGGAATAACGAGTGGTGTGAGTTTTCTTTGGTTATTGCGATGTTGGCTGCTTGTATAATGGTGTCCTGGATGAGATCAAGTTGAGTATCGATGTCAGAGATGGGTTTGTTGTTGTAGTCATAGGTGAGGTTAATATTGTCTATGTGTTGTTTGAAAGCATCCCAGTCAGCGTTCTTGTAGGAGAAGGAAGGTGTGGTTGGAATGAGGATAGGGTTGGAGGAGATGTGTAAGATGACTGGGGTGTGATCGGCCTGTAATGGGCCAGGTGAAATGTTTTTGGTTGAATATAGAGCTGGCTGGGTTTGCCAAAATGATGCTGGTTTCCCTTGGCCCGTGTGGTTGTAAAAGGTTTTGAAGTTGAAAAATCAAATGCCTCTAACAGAGACGAGTAAGGTACCCTTTTGGTCCCCACAGAGACCCACGGGGCATTTGATGAACTGGAATGAGGCAAAAACCGTTCCCCGAACTACCCAGACGCCGCGGTGCCTGAACCCTACAATCGCCGAAACCGACACTATAAACGAAACACTGGAAACTAAAAAAATTTAAAAAACATTGGCATACATGATACAAAAGCGACCAACCCAAAAACACAGGAGTCACATAAATTCATCGTCTACCCGTCCCCATCATAGGTAGAGGTTGTCTTGATAAGGACCTGCCTCGCATGGGCCAGTAGGCCTTCTACAGTGTTCCTCCATTCTTATGTTCTTATGACATTCCTCAGGTCACGTGCGTCACATCTCACTCTCCGCCTATACATATAATGTCTTTCTACCTCTGTATGTTAGAAGTGATCAAGGTCCCAGGACCGAAACGTTTTCTAATAAATATGTTATAGTGTTTGCTTACGTGTCTTTCTAAACCAACTTGTCGGTATTTATTACCAAGGTTTATACCAAGGATGAAGTTAATCACCTTTCAGCCAGAGAATATATGGTGCGAGGTGTGACCTTCAATAATGTCATCTATGGCTATTTTAGAAGTAATGTACAAGTGTGTGAGTGCTAGTTGGATCGCCAGACACTGGAGTTGTGGACTGATAACATAATATTTATTTATCGCACTTGGTGATCTCGAGCTGTGAGTAGTTCATTGCATGTCGATTCTCTGAGATAACAAGCTGTAATCAGTCGTCAAATGATAAAACACGCTTAAGACCCATGATCACAAGACACTGTGTTTATGGTAAAAAAAAAAATCTAAGATAAATGCGACACGCATATGTAAGCAGTGTGAGAAGTGAGGTTGTAACTGAAGTTAAACCACACGCTTATGTATATCTCTGCTATGGACAGGTATTAGCTCGTCTGTCATGCAAATGCTTCCCTTCCAGAAACTTGTAAATGTTATTCTGTTAGTGAAGTAGACAGAAGTTCCACAGTAGTAATTAATATTAGTACTACCTATAATGTGCTTTTTTTTTTAGGTTGAAACTCCTCTAAACCATACTTTTATAAATTGTTTATTAGGTAACACACTGTACAAAATTTTACTTTTGCACCGAAGTTTACTCATCTCTAAAATGAGCACAATATGATTTGTTTTAATCATGCTCAACCTCTCAGGTCAACCTAAATTATTTACTGATGTTCGCGTTGTGCTGACAACAATGAATTTACACTCGGTGTGTTTGACTTTCAAAACTACGATCACATATTCTTCACATAGTCCTGTATGTGTTTATCTCATGTCCTTACCTTTCTCTGGCATGGAGTTGAAGTTGTGTGAGCGATGGCTGGCGTGGCTGCCGCTGTGATCACTAGAGCCTGTCTTGGTGCCTGACTCGTCAGATGCGGGTTTGTTGGGCAGTGGGGTCTGGCCAGGACTCACTGGGATGTTAGGAGGTAGTCTGTTACCTCCAGGGCCACGGAAAATGTCCCTGATGAGGGGTGTGGTGGCGTACGGTTCAGGAGACATACACCTGGGACAGAAAAGGGGGAACCCAGGATAAGAATCGTGGGTTAAGAGAAAGCGTGAGCTACATAAGCCAAAGGATAATATAACTAGCATCTGAATGAAGCATTGCTGACAATACACAAGGAAGTTACACGTTGCGGAACAAGCTTCTATTAGGACAAAAAACAGGATGAACTGTGAGTACATAACGAATTAGATGAAGATTCTTCTTGAATAAAACCAATTTTAACACGAAAGAGTACTGAGTGAATCTTACTACGTTGTAACATGGCCAAGTATTCCTGAATGAAACCTACTACACCAGGAACTAGATATGAGGTGTTGTTATGCTGCTGCTAACTGCCAGGAAGTATAATTACCTTGGGTCAGCGTGACTGCCGAAGGACACGAGCCTGAGACCGTCTGGATCCTCGTACACATCCTCTGGTTGGCGACCTTCGTAGCCACTCTTACTGGAGGCCGGAGCTGCTGGCCTGTGGTATAGCTGAGTAATGGGCACACCGTGGCTGCCCACGTCTGTGTACATGGTGCCCGTCACGCCCATGCCCACGCCCGTCTCCCCCCAACACCCAGGGTACTCAGACCACGGCCCACTACCTTCGCCTGGTGGGGTAACAAAAGCTAAATTTTACCTTCTAGACGTATCACGTGGCCAATAAATTCTTTACGAAGTGCACCAGACAAACCTGACCCATGACCGGGTTCCGGGAGTAGGAAAAACTCTCGGAACTCATCACAGGTATATTAAATGTCAGATGTCAGTTAAGCAGCTTAATATTATCTTGTATGTGGGTTATTTAGAGCAAAGGAAGCTCGATGCTCCGTCCATTAATCGGACCCATGATGGATAATATGACTGTTTAAGCAAGTGTAATTTGATAAGTCTCACCTTTACTGTAATACTGAGGACACTTGTTGTTCTGGCGGCGTCTGTAAATACAGTAGACAGTGGCGGCGAGGGCAGCAAAGATTACAGCGGCAGCCACAGAGATGCCCACGATGAGGTAGGTATTGTTGTCGAAGGGCGAAGACTCCTTGATGTCTGGCGGGTAAGAGGTGTCGCCTGGGGGTATAGTAAGGTTGAGGGGCGCAGAGATGGGTCCAGGGCCCCGGGCTGTTACCCCACGTAACGTGACGCGGTAAGTGGAGCCCGACACCAGCCCTGGCACCAGCGTCCACGTGCTGTTCACTGTTGTGTTCAGCAACACGTGACTCTGGTTTACTGCGTCAGATACCTGTAGAGCAGTGGGAGGCAAGAATATCAGTACACTAGACGAACACGAGATATATACTTTAAGAGGTGTGTGTAGCAGTATATACAAACGTGTCTGTATATACACAGGTGTGTATTTATGTATATAAAGCAAGAGCTGTGCATATCTGTAAATACACCGTGAGATGTGTGTGTGTATGTGTATATACACAGAGATACACATGTTTATATATATATATATAATATTAATATAATATATATATATATATATATATATATATATATATATATATATATATATACAGAACGCAAATTCTGTTAGAATATTAACAATTAAGAAGTTAAAGAGGGTTACTAAGTTTATCACTGGTTACCTGGAGATTATAACCAGTGATGCGGCCATTGGATGAATGAGCTGGGATGGGGTCCCAGGTGATCTTGACGGCGGAGGCGTTGACGTAGGTGTAGTGAAGACCTAGCGGAGGCACCGCCGGCGCTGCCTCCAGAGTGGTGGCACGGACGGCGGCGGTAGGCTGGCCCTCCACTGAACGGTAGAAAGGCACCACGAACAGTTCGTACCAAGTGGCGGGCCTCAGGTTGCTTACTATATGGGTAGTCGGCGGGGCACCGTTGCCATGGAGTGGCACTGTCTCTACACTCAAGCCACCCGCTGGATTACCATGTTGAGTTTCCAGGGGTCGGTACCGCACGTACACGCCTTCAAGCAGTGCCGCGTCTACTAGCAGTTGCCAAGACAACTGAAGTGACGCAGCAGAGGCTGGCTCCACGCTCACCAGACGCACGGCAGGTTGGAAAAGACGTGCTCTAATTTCATGTAAGGGCGGCGCGCCCCCAGCCCCCTGGGCCAGCGTCTTGACGGTGTGGGTGACGGGCGAGGGGCGTGACACGCCGTGTGAATTACGAGCACGCACTACGAACATGTAACGCGTCTCCGGGCGGAGGTCAGTTACGGTAAGAGAAACGGGCGTGGGCGTGTGGCTGGAAGTGGCGGTCAGCTGTGTTAAGGCAGTGATCCAGGCTCCTCGCAGGTCAGGACTCCACATCTGGACGGTGTAGCCCAGTAGGGACGACAGCCCCGGCCGTCCTCGTCGCCAGCCCAACGACACTACGGTCGTGTTCACTCCTAGCACCGTCACCTGCCCAGGGGCTTCCGGCAGCGTGCCCTCGTCCGGAATCTTGAAAAAGGCCACGTTGGGATTGGTGGGCTTGGCCACTATAAGGGAGGCTGTCCACGTTGTCTCTCCGGCCTCAGACTTGGCCGTGCATGTGTAAACATCCGTGTCTGACACTTTTAGATCTGCAAAACAGGAAATACATAATGCATTTTAGAAAGACACAAATTTCATTACTGAAAATAATGACGCATTAGTGCATTAAACATTAGTCACTGAAACAAACTAAGTCACAAAGAGACAATAAAACGGAAGACTAACGCCAGTACTACGTTTGTCGACCTCACAGTCTGCTAAAGAAGACAGTTCAAGGACAAAATATGTAGTTTCTGTCAAATCTTGCCAAAATATTCACTGGTAAAGCTGAAGACTTGTAACGTGACTTACCCTTGATTCTAAGTGTTCCAAGGGGAGTGATGGAAATGCGCTCATCCGGCTTAATCGGCTTTCCTGCCTTCTCCCACACCACTGTAGGCTCGGGCGTGCCCCGAGCCTCACAAGGCATCTCACCTTCCGTACCCAACGGCAGGGTTTGATTGGAGGCCCCCAAGGCGATAATCGGGGGAGGCATGTCAGCCAAGTCTTGGACCTCGAGGTGTGCACGGGCGAGTGCCGACCCAGCGACGCCTACTGCAGAACACACGTAGTAACCCTGGTCGTCCCTCCTCACACCCCGGATAGTGAGGGTGTTGTGAGCATCCACAGTCCAGCGCCCGCCACCCCATGTCTGCCCAGTACCCACCACGTTGCCGGAACCTTCATGGGTCCAGTACGTCGTGGGCGGCGGCGACCCAGACGTCGCGCACTCAAATGACGCCGTGCCGTTGATGCCGACTCGGGCGTCAACTGGCGTCACAGTGATGAGCGGACGAGCTGACACGTAGAAACATGTTACACATTAATATAAACAACACGACAGACGTGCCAGTACAGTCTCTCAGACGTTTTACACACACACACACACACACACACACACACACACACACACACACACACACACACACTTAGCATTCCCCAAAATAATAATATTACTAATCGGTTAAATCACAAACGAGTCAAAAACAGTCTCTCAGGCACTCCTAGATGGAGTTAAGACTTACAGTGAACATTGAGGGTGATATTGGCAGCCACAGAGCCCACTGGGTTCTCTGCTTGGCAGGAGTACACGCCCTGGTCCTCAGGAGCTACGTGATGAATCCTCAGCACCTGGCTACTCTCCTCCAGTGCCATCCTCCCCAGTGGGAGCTCCCCCGGGGGCTCCACGCGACGCCAGAACACTTCCGGGGGAGGGTCACCCCCTACACGACACACGAGCTCAACCGTAGCCCCAGCGGCTCCCGTCACCGTCCCAGACGATGACACCAAGTGCGGCGACACTGTAAACACAGTCAATTAACCTTAATAAAACACAACAACTACATTAGTTTCACTGAGGGGCTCCTCCCGTACACATTCTGTTATATAATACCACTTTAAGTGGCACGTATATACCCCAGTCTTCTAATAACATATTCATTTTTCCACTATAATCTACCTTGTTCATAATTACTATCGCATTTGCTTTGTCTGTTTCGTAAGGTGAAGTCCAGGATCTTTGTTTAATTCATGGTATAACTTAACAAATCTTTGATGACATTTGTGTTGTCTCATGACACACGTGGTGGACCAGGGAATGCAGGGCCATGACACACGTTGTGGACCGGGGTCTGCGGTACCATGACAGGTGGACCAGGGAATCCAGTGCCATGGCACACTGGTGGATCAAGGTCTGCAGTACCATGACACACACGTGGTGGACCAGGTCTGCAGCACCATGACACACACACATGGTGGACCAGGGTCTGCAGTACCATAACACAACTCGTGGACCAGGGTCTACAGTGCCATGATGCACACGTGGTGGACCAGGGTCTGCAGTGCCATGGTGCACACGTGGTGGACCAGGGTCTGCAGTGCCATGGCATACACGTGGTGAACCAGGGTCTGCAGTGTCATGGTGCACACGTGGTGGACCAGGGTCTGCAGTGCCATGATGCACACGTGGTGGACCAGGGTCTGCAGTGCCATGGTGCACACGTGGTGGACCAGGGTCTGCAGTGCCATGGTGCACACGTGGTGGACCAGGGTCTGCAGTGCCATGACAACACGTGGTGAACCAGGGTTCATGCCAGGTGCCAGCACACGTGGGGGACCAGGGTCTGCAGTGCCATGGTGCACACGTGGTAAACCAGGGTCTGCAGTGCCATGGTGCACACGTGGTGGACCAGGGTCTGCAGTGCCATGGTGCACACGTGGTGGACCAGGGTCTGCAGTGCCATGGCATACACGTGGTGAACCAGAGTCTGCAGTGCCATGGTGCACACGTGGTGGACCAAGGTCTGCAGTGCCAGTCACGGGAAAAACAATGATAAAGTACGCCAACAAAATACAGTCTGCGGGTTTTGGCATTTCATTCTAGAAGACGTTTTGCCCACCTGGGGGCGAAACGTCTTTAAAATCAATTATTTAATCTGCATACTGCATACACTTGCTCATTTCATTACCTGCAGCGCTGTAACTGCGTACGCGGCTCACTAGAGCCATTGAAAAAGAGTTGATGGATTACCTCTAGAGCATGGGCTCTACGGCACGAGCTCTATAGGGTGAGCTCTTGCTCTTCGCATGCGGCCACAGAGTAAACTTCTATCAACTGATCCAACATTGACCAGCTTGTCTAGTATACTCAGCTTGGATCCAACCAGCACCAGCTTGTATCTAGTATACTCAGCTTGGGTCAAGCCAGCACACGTTTGTGTAGTATACTCACCTTGGGTCAAACCAGCACCAGTTTGCCTAGTATACTAAGCTTGGGCCAAACAAGCACCAGTTTGTCTAGTATACTAAGCTTGGATCCGACATACACCACTTTCCATTCTAACGCTGTCCCCTCATGAGAGGTTCCTTGATGCTGGTGAGGGGCTCTTGATCTAAGGAATTGGACCTGTGTTCCCATTCCTTGAATCGAGTCTGAATGCCTTCCATTCTCCTATGCACTGTATGATCCATACGGGTTTAACGCTACCGCATGACTGTAATGATGATAACACTGTATCGCATTTTCACCTATGCTCTTAAAGTACCTTAACATCTGCTAATGTTCCGTACGACACTACGTAACATTAGCAAATGTTTTATTTGCTATCACCCGGAGCTCTCTCGATCATACGAACGAGAAATTTCACCAGGCAATTTACAAATTCATCTCTTTTAATAAATTTAGCTTCTCCAGTTGAAATCGTTCATTCATTCATTTTGTATTATATCTGCACAAGTCTCTCAGTATTTAAAGTCATTTTGATTATTTCACTTTAGTCTGGGAAAGAAGCGTCACACTGTCAGTGACACGATAATTGTCCTAAAAACAGTCACCACAAGCTTAGTCTGTAGACTTGAGGTAAGCGCAGATCTCCATGGATAAAAACACACAAAAATTATAAAATCCCGTAACTTACATGATTACAGAGAAGACGAACACTCCTCAGTGAAAGATGGATTTATGCGATATCACGTTTCTGAAATGACTCCTTTGCGCAAGAAGCATTCACCAGTAATCCTTTGATTCAGTTAATTACAAAGGTAACTGCTCAAGAAATCCCTCATCTTTTAGAGAGAGAGAGAGAGAGAGAGAGAGAGAGAGAGAGAGAGAATCTCCTAGGGTGGAGATGGGTAACTTACCCTGGACTGTGAGTTTGGCTGGATTAGTCTCCCTCTGGCCGAAGACGTTCCTGGCTTTACACACGTACTCTCCCGTGTCAGAGACCCGTACCCCGCTGATCACAAGGCTCCCTCCATCCACCACACGGTACCTGGAACACAACAACCACACAACACTTGTTAACCACCCATAGTTCTGCTACCTGGAACATCACAACACTTGTAAACAACCCGTGGTCCCGATACCTGAAACACACCAACACTACAACACTTGTAAAACACTCATAGTTCTGTTACTTGGAGCACTACAACACATTCACTACTATACAACAATCACAATTATATACGCCAGCTTTTGAGGCTTCTATATATGTACTATTATCTCTCTCTCTCGAGTGTATATCTTGCACACTTTTCACTCCAATGTTTCACGTACTCTACATTCTACTCAGTCTTCTAGATGTGATACAATAAGAAACGTGTGCAACAAGTGGGTATCTTTATTGTCGAAACGTTTCGCCTCTACAGGCTTCTTCAGTCGAATACAGAGGTAACTCAGTATTGTAGATAGAAGCAGTTGAGAAGTAAAGGTTAGGTGATCAGTCCTTCAGTCTTGAAGTGTTAAGCCTCATCGTCTTAGTGTGAAGGTGATGCATGAGAATAAGGAAATTTTATACTGATCGTTTGTAAACAAAATAGGTCTCGGTTTTGTGCATCAGCTTCACACTGATAGATATGAATACTTTTCAAATCTGATGGACTGACCACCTCAAAACTACCTCAAGGCAGAGGGAGTGACTTTCCCTGTTCTACACTTCTCCACCGCTTCTGTTTTATCAAACATTAAGTCACCTCTGTATTCGACTGAAAAAGCCTGCGTAGCAGGGCAAAACGTTTCGACAATAAAGGTACCCAACTGTTACACACGTCTTGCTCATCTGCCTGTTAGTATTGTACACCATTAACATGTTTTTCTGATATGCAACCATCCTCGTTCATTATGTTAGACACTTTTTTTTTGTTACATTGCTAGAATTTGTTCTTTTGTAGGTTGATGATGACCTTTTTTACTGACAGAAATGCTGAGTGATCTAACACGTTAATGATCTCTTCAAATTTGTCTATAATACTGAAGAATAGATAGATACAAACTTTTATTGTGACTATTTTCTTATATAAAGCTTCATCAAGTGTGTACCTGTAGATTAAGCCTCCCGCTCCTACGTTCCATTACAACGCCCCCACAACCAAGCCTCACTCTCCATAGAGCCTCCTAACGAAGGCCTACAATAAAACTCTCACTTAAAAGAGTAATGGTACATCGGTCATGGAAGACACGCCCGGACCTGACTTAGTGTACGGATTTCTTTTCTAAGTGTTGTACTTTGGTTATCAGCACTCCGACCCTGCCTTTTCTACTCCCGTCTGGCATGTCCCAAGATCGAGCCTCCTGCATTAAATACACAGTCGATTTCTTCACTTGAAGACTACCAGTTTAATACCTACTGGACTCATTTCTTCTCCATAAAATAAGAGGCTTGGCAGAGGGTGCAGGATACCTCGGTGGAAAGTAAACGAGCAATGATTACACTGGGAGAGAACTTAAGACGTGTAAAGGGACTTTGACTCGACAACCTTCGTGGCTGAGATATTGTCAGTACTACAAACCACCGAGTGTCTCTCAAGTGACCTGATGATACACTATTTGTGCCCATGGAGGAAAAGTATCTACTGACGATAGAAGTGTGTTTGTGAAGACCTGAGTTGAGATATTGTCAGCGCTGACGATCAATGTGTATTTGGAGACCACGACTCTTCACAGTCTTCCATACGTAAGGGGAATTACCAACAAAGTCCTGGCTGTCTTTCAAGAGGAAACTGGACAAATTCTCAAATCGGTTCCTGATCAGCTGGGCTGTGGTGCATATGTCGCCCCTGCGGGTGGTGGGTAGCAATAACCTGGTCAATTAGAAAAGCAACCAGGGAGGCCTGGTCTGGGACCGGCCGTGAGGGTCGGTGACCTCCGGAAGCGACTACAGGCAACCTAGAGTGGGCTAAAATATTGTCAGCGCTGACGGTAGAGGTGTACAGTGTGAGAGTTATATCCTTGCTACTGTTGAAAGATAAACATTATTTACCATAACTTTCTTCTAACTATTGAGGGAGCAATAACAACTACGGCAACAGTGACTCTGGGAGGCGGCAAGTATTCAGAAGGTCAGGAGTATAAATTGTGTTAACGCTGCGTTAAGATCCACTAGCGTCACGTAAGTCAGGCCGCTAAGACCACACTTAATGGTACTAGCAGACAGGAGTGGTCTTGTATACCCCATGTGAAGCGGCGGCGGCGATGGCCACCACCAGTACCACCACCCACCATCACCACCACCACCATCACCTAAGTACCTTCATACTAGAGGCTTAATCAGCTCCCAGCGGGAACGTGTAGGACAAGGAGCCCCCGCTGACATGACCCATCACATTTGCATACACTGATGATTCTATAAACTCTTCCACAACTGCCACAGCTCCTCACTCAAGGCCAGCTCCACCATCTTCAGCCCACACTAGACTTTGCCCCAAGGAGAAGGCTTACTGGGTGCTTCCTCTCGTCCTGCGAGTGAATAAACCGCCAATATTCCAACCCAAATAGCTGACTCGTCATTAGTTCTCACTTACTACTTCGACTGTTTCAAAATCCAGTGGACAAAACTATACACACATAACCTGGACCAAAACGTCGTCGTAAGCTCCTCTCTCCTATGTGCGGGTTATTTGTGTATTGTTCCAGTCACGGTATTGTGCCTTTTTGTTCTTTCTTGACAGAAATATGAAAGGTTTCTTGCAATTAAAGATAAAAATCCCTGTAATAAGGATACTGTAATCGCCTGACACCAGAGCCAGCATTCCTTCGTCTGGTGGGAGGTGCAGACACTACCTGCTTGACGATGCTCCGGCCTCCACGCATCATGTGTACGCGTCATTCACGCTAGAATCTGAGTGACGCTAAATTAAGGGAAATTGATGAATCAATGTGAGATGTGTATATAAAATAAAGTACACATCGTAAATCTTGGAAAAGGAATTAAACTGCTGAAATACAACACTGACAAGCTAATGAGTGAAACACGAGTAAAACCCGTTTTTTTTTTTAGTGCCGTAACGTTTCGCCCTGTGAAGCAGGCTTCTTCAGTCGAAAATTAGGAAAATATAACACTGGAAACAAGTAGTTTTGAAGCGATCAGTCCCTTCTGTCTTGGTAAAAGATGGTCAGTCCTGTAAGCAGAAGCATCTGTCCAGACCATATATACAGAAGCGTAAGTGATAGGTCGCAGCTGGAGGTAACGTCACAGGTGAGCGTGGCCCACTAGTAGAAGTATTGATGCTGAACAGTTGCCTAGTTTGCCTGCTTTCAGCATGAGGGACTGACCACTGCCTATCAAGTCCGAGAGACTCATCAGCTCACCAGTGTTATATTCGCTTACATTCCAATGAAGAAGTCTGCTGCTCAGGCGCAACTTTTCGGCGCTACAGATCCCCAGGTGCTGCACACTTCATTCATCAGATTATCAATACTGTACACAAGTAATAACGTAGTACATCTAGCATGACGTGGGTCGTATTCATGATTCAGCGTTACTTAGATTATGGTACAGCATGCTGGATAGCGTGGCCGATGAGTACACATGGTGTATGTGTGTTCTAAGTAGCGTCCTCGCATCTCTTACAGGAAGCTACTACCTTTAAGTGAAACAAAGGTTAGACCTTCTTTCGCTTACGGTACAGTTGGTTGGGAAGGTAATGTGTTGTAGACAAGAGCAGTGTCCAAGAAAATGGGAAAGGAGTAGAACACAGGGCACCGAGGAACTGCCAAGCTCCTGACAGGAAAGAGGACATAGTTATGTCATTAGACATGCAGCGGCATACCTCCCGGAAGAGGGAAAAAACGACGAAGAGGGGAAAAAAGACATGAAATGAAGAGGGGGGAAAAAGACAAAACAAAACTAAGCAACCACAGAAAATGAAAAATATTTTTGAACCAGTGTCCTAGACGAGTACTATTGGTAGTGATAGTAGTCACGGTTGTGGGCAGTGACAGTAATCACGTTGTGGGCAGTGACAATAGTCACGGTTGTGGGCAGTGACAATAGTCACGGTTATGGGCAGTAGAAGATGTAAATGGTGATGCCAACATTCAGAGGCTGTGGTCACAGAAGTGATCTCTGGTACACTGACCAACTAGAGAACCATTAACCTACCTCTCTCTCCCTCTCCCATTTACACTTAAATCACTAAGCACTAAGAATAATTATATATAATAGCTGAGCTCATTTGACCAGCCCATTCTCATTAAAATTTGAACGTTTCCTATTATTCTCTGGTCACGTCGTTGCCAGACGTATCGTGGCCATTTTTCTAATTATATGTAGTTAAATGTTTTTTTTTCAACGTTTTGCTCCCTAACGTAAATTAGCAAACCTTTAAAATGAGTTAAGAGGAAGACAATATACGGTAAGTACTGGCATCGAGAAAACGTCAGAAGTTTACGTTTTACAGCGTGTGTTGATTGGACAGTGCTGGAGGTATATGAGCGAAGCAACGTCGCTGCCAGTGCTAGAAGAGAGAGAGAGAGAGGGGAGGGGGGGATGTAGGTAGGTAGGTAAGTAAGTAAGTAGGTAAGCAGTAGTGTGACTAACCTGTGCTGGGTGGCAGGGTCAAGTGGCACCCCATCCTTCTCCCAAGACACCACTGGCTCTGGGTTTCCTCTGGGTGGAAGGCACTCCAACATAGCTGTTTCGCCCTCGGCCACCCTCGTTGCTTCCGGCACCACTCTGAAGTCATCCCGCAATACTGTGGGGCAGACAAGAACCAGGAACATGTTAGTCCAACTTAACTTACACGTTAAATCGTAATAATGTTCTTATATGTTGAGTCACAAGACCTGGTCACAGACCGGGCCGTGACCCCCCGGAACACCCTTCAGGTAGGTAGAATGTTAATTAAATGTTAAGAAAGTCACAAGAATGTTTTAAGACAAAGAATAAGTCACACAATACCCGTCTCTTCAGCAACAGTCGGAATTTTACTTATAAACAAACGATAACCTCCCGTTCATTTTTTAAGTAAACTTTTCCATTTATCTCGTTTTAAAGTTAAATTGTTGCCTAGAAACAAAATTCGCCAATTATAACATACCTTAAGAGGGTTAAAAATAACGTTGTAATTAAAGGGAGAAACAAAAAGACTGCGGACCCTGAGTCTGTCCACATTTTCTGTTCCCTCGTCTTTTGTTTTGGTATGAATTACGATCAGGTATGTCATAATTAATGGTTTTCAGGTATGTCATAATTATGGCCTTCAGGTATGTCATAACTAATTTATGATTAGTACACGACAATCTAACCAAAGTACACTTATTCTAGCCAAGGTTAAATGTGAGGTTTGCTTGTTAGGAAGCAACTTGTGTTCTTGAATCCCGTTAAGTATCTAAGTGGATTCCTCACAATGGTCAGGATAAGTCTGTGCTCTACCCAATAAAAATTGACCTATTATAATACACCACAACGAAATAAATGCAAGATAGAAGCGATACAAATTCGTATTCGACGAACAGATAAGTGGCAGCACTGACTTAACTATGTCAGATTTTCACTGTTTAAGATGCCTTGTCGGTCTCCCGTTTGATTGTCTTTACAGTGATGTCTGTGATAAATAGGCCGGACTGTTGAGATGGCAGTGTGTCTGTTAGCTGGGAAGAAAACTTTTCTGAGAGCATCATGGCAACTATGACACCCACAACCATGTCAATCATAATCACGCCAGTCATGTTAGCCACAGAAACCATGTCACCCACAAAAACCATGCCAATCATAGAAACCATAACCTAAACAACCATAGCAATCACGCCAACCATAGCAACCATAACAATCACGCCAACCATGCCAACCTCAGCAACCATGCCAATTATGGAATATAGCAGTGGTGGCCGCCACCCCCGCACGCACCTTCCACCACATAAACATCAGTGTTTATCAGACATACGAGCACTTTTCCATCCCTCGCCTCGCCCACACTGGCCTCGTGTCGCCCTCCAGATGTTTCTCCGTCTCTCCGGCCACGTATATAGCACCGGTTTCTCCCGACTCTCCTGTGCCATTATCACTAGCGGTAATAAAACAGCAGGGCGTTATATACAACGCCTTTCTGTATGCTTACACTTGTGTGTGTGTGTGTTGGGGGCGGGGGGAAGCTGCAATGCATCCTATCACAGCAGGTGATAGGCGTGCTTATTTTAGGACGTGACAGGCTTTGTTTATATTAGCACGTGATAGGCGTGCTTTTTTAACACGTGATAGGAATGCTTATTTTAACACGTGACAGGAGTGCATACTTTAACTGACTCACGAAATCGTAATAACACGATTGGAAACAAACCACAGCACGGGTTGGGATTGAACTCGTGGCGGTGAGTCTTAAAACCCCAGGCCAGCGCGTAAGCCACTGGGCCAGCTGGCCTAGTGGCTTACGCGTTGGCCTGGAGTTTTACGACTCGCTCGCCACGAGTTCAAACCCCACTCGTGCTATGGTTTGGTGTGCTTATTTTAGCACGTGATAGGAGTGTTTATTGCAGCAAGTGATAGGCGTGCTTATCTTAACGTAGTCTGGGCGAGCCAAGATTACAGCTGCCAGATGTGCCAAGACTTTTTTTTTTCAATTTGTGGCTAAATATACTCTCAATTGTAAATCTTACATAGAAAATTATGAAAATTCAGAAGATTATTTTTTGTGCCACTTGAAGGAGAGGGAGGGAGGACTTGAATCCGGCAAAGAGCTCTTGATCCAAAGAAGCTGAGTTACCCTTTTCCTAGGCGTGACCTACCCTAAAAATTAGGCATATAGGGATTGGATAGGTTTCTCAAGTCAGTTCCTGATCAGCCGGGCTGTGGTGGACTGCTTACTGCTAGTACCAACAGCTTAGTTCATCAGGCCATCCACTGGGAGGACTGGTCTGGGACCGGGACGCAGGAGCGTTCATCCCCCCAAAAAATCCAGGTAGATTTCAAGTGGGAACGTTCGGAACCTGACTCTGGAAGTCTCGCAGTGAATTGGTCTGTCTGCCGTCCCTACCATATTTCCATACCCAGCCTTGTCTGCCGTTTCTACCATATTTCCATACCCAGCCTTGTCTGCCGTTTCTACCATATTTCCATACCCAGCCTTGTCTGCCGTTTCTACCATATTTCCATACCCAGCCTTGTCTGCCGTTTCTTTCCATATTTCCATACCCAGCCTTGTCTGCCGTTTTCTACCATATTTCCATACCCAGCCTTGTCTGCCGTTTCTTTCCATATTTTTCCCTACCCAGCCTTGTCTGCCGTTTCTACCATATTTCCATACCCAGCCTTGTCTGCCGTTTCTACCATGTTTCTATACCCAACCTTATCTGCCGTTTCTACCATGTTTCCATACCCAGCCTTGTCTGCAGTTTCTACCATGTTTCCATACCCAGCCTTGTCTGCCGTTTCTACCATGTTTCCATACCCAGCCTTGTCTGCCCTTTCTACCATGTTTCCATACCCAGCCTTGTCTGCCGTTTCTACCATGTTTCCATACCCAGCCTTGTCTGCCGTTTCTACCATGTTTCCATACCCAGTCTTGTCTGCCCTTTCTACCATGTTTCCATACACAGCCTTGTCTGCCCTTTCTACCATGTTTCCATACCCAGCCTTGTCTCCCATTTCTACCATGTTTCCATACGCAGCCTTGTCTGCCATTTCTACCATGTTTCCATACCCAGCCTTGTCTCCCATTTCTACCATGTTTCCATACGCAGCCTTGTCTGCCATTTCTACCATGTTTCCATACCCAGCCTTGTCTGCCCTTTTTACCATGTTTCCATACCCAGCCTTGTCTGCCGTCCCTATCATGTTTCCATACCCAGCCTTGTCTGCCGTCCCTACCATGTTTCCATACCCAGGGTAAATAGCAGTCTCTGCCACTAACGTATGGAACAGAGGCAGTACATGAAGACACTGTCCTCGTGTGAGAGGCAGTACATGAAGACACTGTCCTCGTGTGAGAGGCAGTGCATGAAGACACTGTCCTCGTGTGAGAGGCAGTACATGAAGACACTGTCCTCGTGTGAGAGGCAGAACATGAAGACACTGTCCTCGTGTGAGAGGCAGTACATGAAGACACTGTCCTCGTGTGAGAGGCAGTGCATGAAGACACTGTCCTCGTGTGAGAGGCAGTACATGACAGTCCTAGTGTGAGAGGCAGTACATGAAGACACTGTCCTCGTGTGAGAGGCAGTACATGAAGACTGTCCTCGTGTGAGAGGCAGTACATGAAGACACTGTCCTCGTGTGAGAGGCAGTGCATGAAGACACTTGTCCTCGTGTGAGAGGCAGTACATGAAGACACTGTCCTCGTGTGAGAGGCAGTACATGTAGACACTGTCCTCGTGTGAGAGGCAGTACATGTAGACACTGTCCTCGTGTGAGAGGCAGTGCATGAAGACACTGTCCTCGTGTGAGAGGCAGTACATGAAGACAGTCCTCGTGTGAGAGGCAGTACATGAAGACACTGTCCTCGTGTGAGAGGCAGTACATGAAGACACTGTCCTCGTGTGAGAGGCAGTACATGAAGACACTGTCCTCGTGTGAGAGGCAGAACATGAAGACACTGTCCTCGTGTGAGAGGCAGTGCATGAAGACACTGTCCTCGTGTGAGAGGCAGTACATGAAGACACTGTCCTCGTGTGAGAGGCAGTGCATGAAGACACTGTCCTCGTGTGAGAGGCAGTGCATGAAGACACTGTCCTCGTGTGAGAGGCAGTGCATGAAGACACTGTCCTCGTGTGAGAGGCAGTACATGAAGACACTGTCCTCGTGTGAGAGGCAGAACATGAAGACACTGTCCTCGTGTGAGAGGCAGTACATGAAGACACTGCCCTCATGTGAGAGGCAGTACATGTAGACACTGTCCTCGTGTGAGAGGCAGTACATGAAGACACTGCCCTCGTGTGAGAGGCAGTACATGAAGACACTGCCCTCGTGTGAGAGGCAGTACATGAAGACACTGTCCTCGTGTGAGAGGCAGTACATGAAGACACTGTCCTCGTGTGGAGAGGCATTTGTACATGAAGACACTGCCTCGTGTGAGAGGCAGTACATGAAGACTGTCCTCGTGTGAGAGGCAGTACATGAAGACACTGTCCTCGTGTGAGAGGCAGTGCATGAAGACACTGTCCTCGTGTGAGAGGCAGTACATGAAGACACTGTCCTCGTGTGAGAGGCAGTACATGTAAGACACTGTCCTCGTGTGAGAGGCAGTACATGTAGACACTGTCCTCGTGTGAGAGGCAGTGCATGAAGACACTGTCCTCGTGTGAGAGGCAGTACATGAAGACAGTCCTCGTGTGAGAGGCAGTACATGAAGACACTGTCCTCGTGTGAGAGGCAGTACATGAAGACACTGTCCTCGTGTGAGAGGCAGTACATGAAGACACTGTCCTCGTGTGAGAGGCAGAACATGAAGACACTGTCCTCGTGTGAGAGGCAGTGCATGAAGACACTGTCCTCGTGTGAGAGGCAGTACATGTAGACACTGTCCTCGTGTGAGAGGCAGTGCATGAAGACACTGTCCTCGTGTGAGAGGCAGTGACATGAAGACACTGTCCTCGTGTGAGAGGCAGTGCATGAAGACACTGTCCTCGTGTAGAGGCAGTACATGAAGACACTGTCCTCGTGTGAGAGGCGAACATGAAGACACTGTCCTCGTGTGAGAGGCAGTACATGAAGACACTGCCCTCATGTGAGAGGCAGTACATGTAGACACTGTCCTCGTGT